TATAGATAAATAAAATCCCTGTGGGCTTTTGGTTTGTTAGTACAGAAATCAAAAGGTTCTACTGAGGGAGTGGGGGGGAGGTACATATATCAACAATTATTTTATTAAATACTTAACAGTATTTATAAATGAAACAAGATCGGCCCTTGTAGGGGAACTAACTCAGAAATGCAATAGAGCTCCAGCGTCTGGGGGATGCTGGACTCTCGGTTACCCTTCGGTGATTACCTCTCTGCAGCCTCAGGCTTGGCTGACCCCCCAGGAAGCCAGAGGACCGCCCAAACGCCAGCACCCAGGAGTGAGGCTGATGAGCGCACAGAGTGGGGGAAACTGCCTGACATTATCCGTTAACTTAGAAATGCGCTGTTTTTCCTGGCGGCCCGTGTGACTTACCCACCACTCGCTTTTACTATTAAACCTATAAAAAAGAAACCCCGTCCCGGGAGGGTGTGGACTGCCTCCCCCGCGGCCCCCACCGGGAACACACAGCTGCTTTGCCCAAGCAGTAGGTTTCTCCTATCAAAGCTCCTGCGAACTTGAATAAGCCCCTGCGGGTCCATTCTTCGGAATCAATCCTGAATGTGGACGTTTGGGGCTTTCCCCCAACAGCCCATCATTGTGGTTGTTGCTGAAGCTGGAGGAGGGAATTCATTATACTCCTGACTCCTGTCTGTCTGAAATGTTCGCCATACAAAGTTAAAAATAAATACGTAAACAGCCCTGGCCGGTTTGGCTCAGTGGATGGAGCGTCGGCCTGCGGACTGAAGGGTCCCAGGTTCGATTCGGTCAAGGGCATGTACCTTGGTTGCGGGCACATCCCCAGTAGGGGGTGTGCAGGAGGCAGCTGATCGATGTTTCTCTCTCATGGATATTTCTAACTTTCTACCCTTCTCCCTTCCTCTCTGTAAAAAATCAATAAAAAATATATTAAAAATAAATAAATGCGTAAACAGAAAAATTTCAATTCCCCATAAGAGTGAAGACCAGCTCTTAATGTTGATGTTACTGCTACCGAGAGTGAAATGGCTCTCCTGTTACCTCATTATTAAACAGGCGGCTCGTCTCCCGTTCCCTGGGAAAGTTTCTGCCGGGCGAGTTCCAAGTCCTCGCCCCGAGCACCCCGGAAGGAGAGCGCCGAGCACCCCGGAAGAGGAGCGCTAAACGCACACAGAGGAGAGGGGCCGGGGCCGGGCCACGGGCTCCTCACAGGGTCTCCCATCACCGGGCAGGGCTCTGCGAAGGGGGCCGCGGCCGCCGTTTCCTCCAGCCAAAGAGGCGCCCACTCCGGCCCCCACCGCCCCCCAGCCAGTCCAGGAGGCCGGAGACACAACCTCCGAGGTCTTCCCGAGCCAGAGGCCGTGGGGTAGGAACGCCGCTTTCCGGTGCCGGAAAGTGCAGACCGAGCCCTTTCACCGACGGGCACCGGAGCCCAGGCCGCGGCGTCCCCGCCCCAGGGGAGAGACGCCGCGGGACAGAAAAGGACAACACGAAAGTCTGGCGGCT